GTGTGTGTGTGTGTGTGTGTGTGTGTGTGTGTGTGTGTGTGTGTTCCAGAACTGTGTGTGTGTGTGTAGTTTCTCTTCTATTCTGCTTGCGTTTAGACCCTGGCACATGGTAACATTACTGCTTTATTTCTACTTCCTCCAAAATGGATTTTGAATATGGTTATTTATAATCTTTATGTGATCTTATTAGAGGATATTTTAGCATCACAGTTGTAGACCTTCAATATCATTCATTTTTATTTCATTATATAAACAGGGTAAGCTAATTTTGTGTGTGTTTGTGTGTTCCAGGTACACAATATATTCTTACAGTGAATGGTGGGATCTGGAAATACTGTGAATTGTTTGTTACACAGATGTTTGGAAACACTCATAGGCGATTTTTTTTTAAATTTTTTTTTAACTTTTTTTTAATTTATTTATTCATGAGAGACAGAGAGAGAGAGAGAGGCAGAGGGAGAAGCAGGCTCCCAAGGAGCAGGGAGCCCGATGTGGGACTCGATCCCAGGACCCTGGGATCATGACCTGAGCCGAAGGCAGACGCTTAACCATCTGAGCCACCCAGGCGCCCCCGATTTTTTTTTTTTAAATGACATTATTATTATTCCAAGTATATTATTGGGAAGTAGTTAAATAATGAAAATTATTGTAAATATCCAAAATATCTTTTGTTTAAATAGTCCTTGAAGACTCTCCGGAATTCAGACTTGAAACCATATATTATCTTCATTGCACCCCCTTCACAAGAAAGACTTCGGGCATTATTGGCCAAGGAGGGCAAGAATCCAAAGGTAAAGTTATTATAGTGTTGTACTGTTCCATTGAAAGTAAACATGAAACAGTCATGACATAACATGTCACAGTGCTTAAGAGCTATATCAGCTTGAGCTTTCAGACTGATTATTCTTTCTGCCATATCACTTTTCCCAAAATTGCTGTTGTTGCCTCTGGCTGGACTGTCTCCAAAGCAGGGGCCTTCTCTCGTTCCCCACACATTCCCCATAGCTACCCCAAATGTATGGTTACCTTTGGCATTCCTTGAAACATCCTTAATCTTCTTCACATGGGTCTGTGTTATTTCCAGTAGGGATTACGTAACCCCCTGCCCTCTACTCCCAAGAAAAAAGTTCTCTGCAGATTCTTAGGAATTACCCACTTTTTTCTTTTTTTTTTTTTTTTTAAAGATTTTTATTTATTTATTTGAGAAAGAGAGAATGAGAGACAGAGAGCATGAGAGGGAAGAGGGTCAGAGGGAGAAGCAGACTCCCTGCTGAGCAGGGAGCCTGATGTGGGACTCGATCCCGGGACTCCAGGATCATGACCTGAGCCGAAGGCAGTCGCTTAACCAACTGAGCCACCCAGGCGCCCAGGAATTACCCACTTTTTTCTGCAGATACTCTGCATATGTGGGGAGCCAAAGTTGGGTGCTCTTGCTTTTCTCTGATTGAAATTTATGTTCTGTTTGTCTTCTCCCTTTGGTCTTCTCACATGATCTGAAACGGTAAATTTTTTAAAAATTATTTTAGATGCTGGACATGGTTGAGGGTAGTTCAATTTTACTAAACATTATTAATAATAAAATTATATTAATGTGTTAATCCGAAAGCATTGACTTTATTTAAATGTGTGAAATGAAAACTGTCAAGTGACTTACTATATTGAAGTAACAAATACTTTTTCTTGTTTTTTGCTGATTTCTTAAATATTTCTGTTTTACAGAGGAATCATTCAGTTCTCATTTCATTTGCTCTCTCTAAATCTCCTTAAAAGCCATAAGCACACATCATAACACACTTCTTTATAAGATCCTTAAAAGTCAGTAAAAGCATATCACTCCTTTCCCATGGTTCTTGGCTGTACACCATAGCCACCAACCCTCTTTCTTCTTCCCCAAGATAGATCTTTCTTCCATTATCGATCTACTTATATTTCTTATTCAGTCTATGTATGAAGGTTGTATTTTTAATGTCTTAGGCAATAGACAATCAAGGATTTTCCCATCCTACATGATGAGCCTTAATTCTGGTTGCTTTGTTTAGGCTAAATAGGTCGGCTGGCTAAAGTAGTGTTCACAACACCCTTTTCCATGTTTGCAACCAAAAAAAAATGAGACATGGTCACTGGCTGTTCTTGAGGGGGATCACAATAAAGAAAACAAAACTATGAAACTAAGTGCCCAGTAACTACTTTGGTAGACCACAAATACCATGGTTGTTTAAGGAAAAGGATGGACTAGAGTGGACTTCCTCCTGTTTGTTCAGCCTAATTTTTCTATTTTCTAATATGCACTTATTTTGTTATGTTTTTCTTCTCCAAGGATTCAGTATCATGCAAGGGCTATACACCATTCCAAAACAGGTTAGGCAACTTTCTTTGGGTTGGTAGTCTCAGATAGTGTTCTCACAGGATTATTTATCCTATTATTTATTTTGAATTAGCTATCCCTAATTGAGTAAGGTCTAGAAAGATACCAATTATACATATTTTTAGAGGAAGAACTTAATCAGTACCAAAATGGTTTAAAACTTTACAGTATGCTTGATTTTCTAATGAGAATTCTCTAATTTTTAAAAATTAACTTCATTGAAATTATTTTATATACAATAAAATGCGTGCATTTTATTCAGTGAGTTTTGGCAAAACGTATACCTGTGTCACTGCCATGCCAGTTGAGATTTAGAACATTTTCATCACTCTAGAAAATTCTCTCATGCTTCTTTGAAGTTAACACCCCTCCATTCTTCCCTAGGCAATCACTAATTTGCTTTCTGTCAGCATAGATTTTTGTCTGTTCTAGAAGTTCATATAAATGGAACCATAGAGTTTTAAGTTTGCAGATATCTGGCTTTTTATCAGCATGTTTTTGAGATTCATCAACGTTGCGTCTAACAGTAGTAGTTCATACCTTCGTATTGCTGAGTGGTATACCATGAGCTAAGTATATCACAATATATTCATCAGTTAAAAATTTGGGTTGTTTCCAGTTTTGAGCTGGTGTGATTAAAGCAGCTGTAAACATTCATAGTCTTTTGGTGGACATCTATGTTTTTGTTTCTCTTGAATTGCTGGATCAAAGGTTAAGTGTATATTTTAACTGTATAAAGCTGCCAAACTGGTTTTAAATCCGTTTGATTCCATTTGTTCCCACTTTGGTTCCATTTGTTCCACATCCTTACCAGATTTTGCTTTTGTCGGTTTGTTAAGAATTTTTGCCATTCTAGTAAGTGTGAAGTGTTATCATTAAGGTTTTCATTTGCATTTGCCTGATGACTAATGTATCTTTTCATGTAGTTATTTAGGCATATTCTTTTATGAAATGTCTTTTTTTTTTTAATTGGGTTGTTTTCTTACGGAATTTTAAAAATTCTTATATATATTCTGGATATAAATATTTTCTCAAAATCTTTATCTTTTTTAATGATATGTTTTGTGTTTTGAAGATCAGAAGTGTTTTAGAGAAGCACACTTTTTTTTCTTATGGTTAACGATTTTTGTGTACTGTGTAAAAAAACTTCCCTGCCCCAAGATTATAAAGATTTTATCCCATGTTTTCTTGTAAAACCTTTCTCGTGTTAGCTTTTACTTTTAGGTCTATCATCTCTCAAACTAATCTTTTTCAGTGTGAAGTAAGGGTGGTGGTTGGTTTGGTGTTTTTTGTTTTTGTTTTGTTTTATAACACATATGGAGGATATTCCATTGCTCTAGCATCATTTCTTGAAAAAGACTATCCTTTTTTCCATTGAATTACATTGGTACCTTTTTTAAAAAATGACCTGGCCAAATATGTAGCAGGAAGCAGGGTGGGGATTATTTCTGGACTCTATTCTGTATTTATGCTAATATCACAGTCTTGATTACTGCAGCTTTATTATAAATCTCAAAAAACAGTCATAAAAAGGAATGAAGTACTTATACATGATACAACATGGACTAACCTTGCAAACACTGTAAGTGAAAGAAACCAGTCACAAAATACCATATATTGTAATGATTCCGTTTTATGGGATGTCCAGAATAGGCAAAACTATAGGGACCTAAAGTAGATTAGTGGTTGCTTAGGGCTGGGGTTGGGAGAGAACGGGGAGTGGCTTCCTATAGATATGGGGGTTTTGGCTGGGGAAAGGGAGATGAAAACACTCTAAAATTGTGGTGTTGATTGCACAGCTCTGTGACTATAGTAAAAACAGTTGAAATCATTCACTTTAAAACAGGTGAATTCTAAATGAATTCTATCTCAAGAAAGCCATTACCAAAAAAGAAAAATCCCAGCAGGTGTTTCTATAGAAAGTTAAAAGATGATTTTTTAAATTTATATGGAAATTAAAAGGAATAACTAAAACACTTTAGAAAAAGAACTAAGTCAGTGGTGGAGGCGCGCCTGGGTGACTCAGTCAGTTAAGTGTCCAACTCTTGGTTTGGATCAGGTCATGATATCAGGTCATGATCTCAGGTCATGGAGTGGAGCCCCGTGTCAGGCTCCACACTCAGCAGGAGTCTGCTTGAGATTCTCTCTCTCCCTCTGCCTCTCCCCCCCGCCACCCGCCCTGCTCCCACATGTGCTCTCTCCCTCTTAAATAAATTTTTTTAAATTTTTTTAAGATTTTATTTATTCATTTGACACAGGAGAGAGCAAGCATAAGCAGGGCGAGTGGCAGGCAGGGGAGAAGCAGGCTCCCTGCTAAGCAAGGAGCCCGATGTGGGGCTCAATCCCAGGACCTGGGGATCATGACCTGAGCTGAAGGCAGCCGCTTAACTGACTGAGCCATCCAAGGGCCCTCAAATAAATAAATCTTAAAAAAAAAGTTGGAGGCCTTTTGTCTTTAATTTTATTATTTGTCTCTTTTCTATTTAATTGACTTATACTTTGGCTTTAATTTGCACTTGCTCTAGTTTCTGAAGAAAACTTAGATCTTTACGTCTTTTTTTTGTTTTTAAGATTTTATTTATTTGACAGCACAAGCAGAGGGGCAGCAGGGAGAGGGAGAAGCAGGCTCCCTGCCGAGCAGGGAGCCCAATGGGGTGCTCAGTCCCGGGACCCTGGCATCATGACCTGATCCAAAGGCAGACACTTAAACGACTGAGCCACCCAGGCGCCCCTCTTTTCTAAAACGAAGTTATAAATTTCCCTCTAAGCAGTTCCTTAGTTGCATCCTACAAATTTTGACATTATGTTTTTTCTCATTTTTCTCATGTCTTTTCTCATGTTTGTCATTTTCTTCTTGAACAGATGGGTTATTTAGAAGTATGTAATTTCCACAGATTGGGAAATTAAAAAAATATTTTACTGATTTATAATTCCACTGTGGTCAGAGAACATAGTCTATAAAGATGTGAATCTTTCAGAAATGTTCTCAGCCTTATTTTATGACCCAGCATCGGTTCTGTCTGGGTGCACGTTCCATGCACACTGGTAAGAGTGTACAGAGGGCAGTGTATCTTACTGCCTTTTTATTCCACTTATGTTTCCTCTCCTTTGGTATTTCCAGTAGTGCTTTTTATCATACAGTAGAAGTGTTGAATAAAAACAAGTCCTCAATTTTAACTCTATGAAATTGTGCTAATCAGGAAAGTGACGGTGTTCTCACTGGATGCAGAATGTAAATAATCAGTTAATCTGATTGTACTCTGAATCTCTCTGCTAGAATGGGGGCCTGAGAGTGGTACACTGATAGTATGAACTGTTACAGTCAATTTGGCCTATAGGCCAGTTTTTTCAGTCCAGAACTTTTTGAACAAAAACAATTTTGTTTATCTTAGTCATGAATTGTAATTTGAAAAAATAGGAAATTATAAGCCATTTTAGCAAAAGACAAAATAATGCCTTAAATTTGATAAAAACTAGGTGGGTTGGTTCTTTATGTGAATCTCTGTGAGATGTAGGGCTTTACATTTTAACTCTAGCACCACAAATTTTAGATTCTGTTTTGACTTCTGGAATGTTCTTTAAGTAGTCTTGAGATTTGAGTAGACCTAAGCTTTAGCAAGAATGTTACAGTGTGTTCAGTTATAATGGTGTAATAGAGTCCCCTAGGAAACAAAGGATTCTGTGTACCACAGCCAGATGCACAACATTCCAGAATGAAAATTAGCCACACAAGAAACTGCCTCAGGACAGGCCGGAGCTGTCGTATTTTTAATGTTTTCCTACTGTTAAAGAAGGTCAGCCAGCTGAATAAGTTGTTTTGTATTGTGGGTCCAATATAGTATTGGTTTGTGACTTTTATATTGGAGACATTTGGACTTGAGTTAGTCCTCTTCATTGATGGGTGATTTGGGGGCAGTTTTACTTTCTTGAACACATGTCCCTGGTAATCAGAGGATTCTGTGTAAGTTTCACACCCTACCTTACTACCTGCTCATCTGTGTGAAACAGCTGTTTCCTTTACCCAGTGTTTTAAAGTAGCCTGCTCTGTATCATTTCCCAAACTCTTCTTAGAATACTTTTTTTGCATCTTTAAAACCTACTTGGTGTACTGAAAACAGAGAAGCAGTTTAAAGCCAAGTTAATTCCCCCAGAACATTAGATTATTAAATCTTGGGTTGACCGGGAGTGTTTTCATAGAAGGATACCCATTCTATTGATCCCTTTCTTTTCCCATAATGTTTACCCTGCTTAACTCTGTAATAGATCTAAAGGACAGCAGATCTTTATAAATCCAAGAGTAGATGGCATTTTGGGTCCTACCAACCTTGCTTCAACCTGAAAGTTTCACTCTGCATTTCAAAGATGTTATTTTTTAGGGAAAGGTTATGATGTTCTAAAATGCTTGAAAACAAATGTTTGTAGGGAATTCTCAGTAACAGTCTGCCTTGAAGCCTCTGGTGAGTAAAACAGAAATACATGAAAACCTGAGTAGCAGTATAAACAGGTTATATTGAGTCCCTGAAGACACCAGAGCAAAGGATGATAATCACTGAGGCCATCACAGGGTTGAAGAGGAGCTCCTGAAGTGGCATATTTTGAGAGACAGCAAACAATAGAAGGCCATTTTTTTGTTCTTCAGTCATCGCTGACATTGTATATTTTGGTAAGGAATGGCATTACCTCAGTTTTTGTCTTCTCTTTCCAGCCTGAAGAGTTGAGAGAAATCATTGAGAAGACTAGAGAGATGGAACAGAACAATGGCCACTACTTTGACACAGCAATTGTGAATTCAGATCTTGATAAAGCCTATCAGGAACTGCTTAGGTTAATTAACAAACTTGATACTGAACCTCAGTGGGTGCCATCCACTTGGCTGAGGTGAGGGAAACACCCATTCTATGATATGATTGGACTTGATCTGGCAAACTGCCACTAGGAAGAGAGCCCTGATACTTCAGCAAGACCCTGAGGTGGCAGACCAAATAAGCTGTAGACCTGTTCTTTGATCTCAAACTAGTGAGAAAATTCCCTTAGGCAATTTGTGCATAGCAGTCTTTATTCTCCGTACATGGCTTTAGAGGTTCTTGCCTCCTCTGGGGATTCTAAATGGAAGCTTTCAACAGACCAGTTCCATTTTATCCATGTAAAAACCTTTTAATTGTTTTCACCTAACTAAATCTTTTCTGCCTGGTCCTATTTCCATGAAAAAACTTAGTCTGTATATACACAGTGGTCCATGTCTCACATAGTTAAAGTACTGATGCTATTTAACAGTTAACTTAAAGGACTTCATGGCGGGGGGGTGGGGGGGGGGCTGTGCTTCTGTGTACTGGGCAGGACAGTATTTGGTTAGAAGGCTGGTTTTGTCATCAGAAATACTTTCCTAAAATGTAAAAAAAAAAAATGGCACCACTTTGGTCTCAAGCTACTGTTAGGCTTGAATTCATTTGTGTGTCTTTTAATTCTAAGACATTCCGTTAGAAACACGTTTTTTAGCTCAGACTTTGTGGATCAGATTTCACTGCACACTCAACAGATTCTGATCTAGTTAAATATATATAGCATATGCTGATTTTTTTAATGATTTTCTGAAGTTTTTGCTTAAATTATCACAAGTGATTCTATAACCTTGCTTCCTTCTCTGATCTGCATAGTACAATAGAATGTGTAAGTAACACTTTCATGAATGGCAGATGGTCATATAAACTTAGTTTTTTCCTCATGATGCAAATCGTTTTTCATATGAGAGGACATAGCACATTTGACAGTTTTGCATTTTTATATATGAGCACGGTATAATTTGATGCCTGTGCCATATGTAAGTAATAAACTGGAATTCTGGGATAAACATAGCTGCTGTGCTGTATACTAAGATTTACTAGGTGACCAATGGTCATTGATAACACTCATTCAGCATTGGAGTAAAATTATATCCAAGGGGAAATACTGTAACAATTGACTTTGAGATCACAAGGAAAGGATGACCTGAAAGTCATTTGAACATTATAGGAAAAGAACATGGGGGGTGAGGGGGGAGTTAAGCATGCAGAATTATCCTATCAAGTTCTGCCTCTTAATGACCAGAATGCAGTGGCTTTGCTCAATCATAAATGTTTAAGCTAATGGGGTCTTCATACTGTTTCTGTAGCTGCAGCTATAAAATTCAACTTCTGCAGTTGGCACGGAAAGTTAATTTGTAGTCTTTTCAAACCTTCAGGGATGGTGTGATGTGTGTCAAATGACCTCAAATGTGAATGTCTTTTATTTTTATGACTTTAGCTACAGCATTACCTGTTCCCAAAGCTAAACACTGGAATAACATGGAGTTGTCACTTAATTTAACGTAAGCAATTGTTGTAAATGAGTAGTTTGTCTCGTTGTTGTGTATATATTTGATTTCTATGTAATTTTACTTGAACAAATGTAGATAGTTTATGTTGCCTTTTCTGTTCAAATCTGCATGGCCTTGAAGTCGGCTGCAATGTGTCTTACATGGAAATACTTTCAAGATAACCGTTCCTTAGGAAGAAAGTAACATTCCTGGGTCAGGGGAAGGAATGCCATCCTATCTTTTCAGATCTGAAACACTCCAGTTTAGGACAGAGAAAACCAACGAATATTAGCACTTAATCTTTTCAGTTTTCCATTTTACTTTCTCTTAAGGAATGAAAGGTAGTCTATGGTAGACAATGGAGTTTTATGAGCTGCTTTTCCTAAGGGACAACTGCTTTCGGCCCTAAGATCTAAAACGTTGGCAGTTGAAGTAGCTATGGGCCGGTTCCTGAGTTATCCTGCAGGCCGTAGAGCCACGGGAGGGCTATGTGCTTTCACAGGCACATCCCCTACACCAAGGCACATGCCATGTCCTAGTATACTTAGCTGACAAAGAGATTTTGGGGGTCAGTGAAGTCCTGCATTTCTCTCCTTATCAGCAATGGGAGAGGGACAGAAATGTTTATGTCCCAAACTTTTCTCCGTCTCAGTGACATGGATGTGTTGATATTCAACACAGTCCCTAAACAAAGTGAAAACTTAGTTGTTGACCTCCTTAAAAAAAAAAAAAGAAAAAAATCCTTGCTATACACCCAATTGCCCGGCCGCTCTGGCCAGTTCCGTTTCCTGTCCTTTGTGGCTCTGATTGGAGACCCCGGTGTGGGGGAGGTCTTAACCACTTACAGGAATGATGGCAATAGCTAATAAAATGCACAGTAGTTTAAATAAGGAAATACCTTCCTTTGCTAAATTTTCGTAAGTCAGAACAAATGGAAAAGAATAGTATTTAGACTAATCCAGATTTGCTTTATGTGAAAAATGTAGTATCTGAATTTTCTTTTCCCTTTTCTCATGGCCTAAGGAATAAGTATTGATAAGGAATAATTTGAATGTAGATTTGTGAATGTGTATGGAAACTATAAACCAGGGATTTAGCCTTAATAAAAGGTAACCTTTCTGACACGTTAATCCCCCTTTGTACTCTTACCTTGTATCTGCACTGTTCTCGAGTTGTCATACTGCACACCGTATTGTAAAAACAAAGTAAAATTATATTTCAAATAAAACCATTGAGTACGTTCTGTGTTTACATCCTCTGCCAGTCAAGGTTTCAACTCACCTAACCACTCGGTCTGCAAGTTTTTGCCAGAAATAAGTCCACTGGAACCTCTGCGTGAAACATAAAATACCTTTTAATTTATTCTTCATGGTGGGGGAGTGCCCCCTATTGGCACAGACATAGGTTCTGTTTCCTTGTTTTAAAAAAATTTTATTAAAGATAGTGTAACACTGTGAACTTAAACATTTTCTAGGAAAAAACGTATGTAAATACTCGGGCAAATTCCACTTATGTGCAGCCAAGGATTCGCGGGGACAAAGGCTAGGGATGTGAGTTGACAAATACATAACATTCACTTTTCTACTGTACCACTCTCGATCTCCCAAAGGAGGCAATCATACCAACAAAAAGTGTCACACAAACACACACTCCGGCTTTCTATTCATGATCGTTCCCTTCCCCTACGGATCACATCACCCCACACAACAAATTCGGTTCACAGTGTTCTTCTGATTTCTAAGTTAACGATATGCTAAAACCGTAAAGTCATTGCAGTTTTGTAGGGAGTTTAGCCAAGGCCAATAAAAAGGAGCTTTAAGAAGCCACAGGAGAAATCTAGGTGCTTCTCTGGTCTCGGCGGGTGAAGGTGAACACTGAATTTACCGAAGTGAAAAACCATTAAGTAATCTGGGCTCTCATACCCTTCCAGCTATTTTTTTGGCCTCCTAGAGAGGCAGTACATACTGCTTAAGAACCAAGGCCTGCATCCTAGCTCTGCTGTCTGACCTGATGAAGCCTCAGTTTCCTCATCTGTAAAATGGAGAGAATAGTATTTACACCTCACTCCGGTATTGGATTAAATGTTAAGCCTTGAAAATAGGAACACTGAACTGCTTAGGAACTCACCTGTTGGTTTTCCAATCACTACTGAACTTACTTACAGAATAAAACCTCCGATTCAAAACAGGATTTGCCAAAACTCAGCTCCTCCAGGACAGGCCTTAGATCTTACCTTTACCCAAAGTTTTAAATATAGGAGAAGCAAGAAAGATTAGAAGGGTATAAAAACACTGAAGGTAGACTGCCTGAATTCAAATCCCGGATTCACCACTTTCTAGCTTTTTGAGCTGGGACCAATTACTCCAGCTCCTTGGGCCTTAAAGTCTTCTTCTGTGAAAAGTGGGGTTAAAATAACGTGTTTTTTTTTTTTTTAGATTTTATTTATTTCAGAGAGAGAGAGAATGAGATAGAAAGCACGAGAGGGAAGAGGGTCAGAGGGAGAAGCAGACTCCCCACTGAGCAGGGAGCCCGATGCAGGACTCGATCCCGGGACCCCAGGATCATGACCTGAGCCGAAGGCAGTTGCTTAACCAACTGAGCCACCCAGGCGCCCCAATAACATGTATGTCTTATGGTTGCTGTGATAATATAAATAAAACACTTAAAGCAGGGCCTGGCACGTAACTAAGATTATTTTGTAGCAGGTATTAAATGTTTGCAAAATTACGTGGTACTTTTAAAAGCCTAGGCTTATGATATCAGTTGACTTAAATACAATACTCATAAGCCAAGTGTTAACAATTTCACCCACAACTGTTCCATAGCCAAGTCACCTCAGAAATGCCCAGGACTGGGTACAAGAAAGCCTGAGTAAACATGGATGGCTCACCAAATCAAACAGCACGAAAAACCTCAGCTCCTGATACGGCCACTCAAATGCCTCATCTTCCTATTTAATGGAAGACAGCAAATGTTACTGCTTATAAGATAAAAGTTACTTTATTACTCTCAGATGAGAATTATTTTTTCTTAGATTAGGAAAGAAAGAAGTATTAATAACCCCTCAACTCACTGGCACGTTTATGAATACCCCAAAATTCAATCATCTCAGTAAGCTTGTCCTCCATGTCTGCAGAGGAAGCTCTATCCCATGTGCCAATCTGAGGATAAGAACGTGACTGATGGTAAATTAAAAAAAAAAAAAAGGAACAATTCATTTTTAAATCATTTTACTGTTTATACCATAATCACATTAAAATTGGCAGAACTCCCATGACAGACAGGACAGAGACCTGCCATGCAAGGCAAACAGTGAAGGTTTCATAAAGCTGGAGACAAGTACCAGGGTCCCACAGGATGGCCGCAGCGATCTCAAGACAGCAGTGCCACGGTGTCGGAGCAGGTGGGAACACAGGCGGCCACGGCCATAGCTGGCCTGAGGCCACTGCTCTTTCCTAAGGGGGATTTCCTAATATGCATGGTAAGCAGATCCCTTGAACAGATGTACATGGAGCAGGGTACTGCTGCTGCTGAATAAATTCCTGGGCAGGGGCTACAAATCTCATGTGATAAGTGGTTGCTAAATTAGGATTTTGCAAAGGTAGTCCCATAACCAACATCCAGGGAAATTTTACCACCAGTGAAATTCTTAGGCCAAAAAATAAATAGCCACACATACCAAACCTACACACCGTGAATTAAAATGGTGCCATGTTAGAGCTTAGGAAAGAACCAGAGCAGGAAAGATTATTCAAACAGAAGATCCTCATCCTTCTCTTCAGCCAGAAGATTAGCAGGCTCCATCACCTCACCAGCTGCCCTCCGTTGCTCCAAGTCCTTCTCAGATTTTTCCTTGAGAATCTTTTTCTTCTCCTGTATTTTCTTTAATCTGTAAAACAAAAGGGAATTTTCTGAACACTGTTTCAGTTCTAAGTATATCTGACCTCTGCTAGTTTTGTAACAAGGATCATAAACACAAACTAGAACAAAATTTTACTTTTTTTTCAAATTCAGTGATCTCTATAATCCATTTTTAAAATAAAGATTTGAGGTAGAATACACACATTTTAAGCTGATAATGGACTTTGAAGGGGTCGGGGAAGTCCTACATGTCTGCAGTGAAAGCTCTTTTTAGAAGACAGTCCCGGGTGCCTGGGTGGCTCCGTCGGTTGGGCGACTGCCTTCGGCTCAGGTCATGATCCTGGGGTCCCGGGATCGAGTCCCACATCGGGCTCCCTGCTCGGCGGGGAGTCTGCTTCT